CAAGAATACAGTTGCGGCTATTAATATGTCTTTCAAAATTTGTTATTTTAAAAGGACAGTCAAGTCGAACTTCAACTTCACATTTACATCAGACAGTTTTACTATCTATCATTTTATCAAAATTTGTAAAAGATCTAAAACGAGAGATACGAGTATCAGAATTTGTATTTTGAGCACGAGACAGGTAAACTGGTGCCATTGTAAAGTAAAAAAAAGCTGAATAACAGCTAGGTAAAGTAAATTTAAAAAAAAACAAAATTTATTGAACAAATTTTACTTTTACGTGTAAAATTAACTAAATGTAGATTGTTCATAATTTGTCCCATTTTAATAAAATTCTTGAAATTTAAAGAATTTCGTTGAAAAATTTCTTCCTGTCAAAAAGCATCTATATATATATCTATATATATATCATATGTTTGCGAACTATACTATATATGGTAACCTATTTACATATTATATTTGTGAACCATCCAAAAGCGGTAATCTGAATTAGTACAAACTGCAAATACTATGACCTTTCCATTGTTATAAGAATGCGAATCATGCCTATCCAGTGATATTTTTTAAAAATCTATAAGTTCTCGAACCATGTTTGATGGTAACCCCTATTAGAAATTTTTCAGGTCCTAATATGAGTCTGAAGAAAGTGATAATGAGTATAAGAATGAATTAAAGCTAAATATAGATGATATCAAGTTTGAAGAATATATTGATCAAAGGAATAAATCAGTAAGTACTTTTTTTCAATATCAATTTCAAGTATGATTTCGTTAAACAATTATATTTTATAGTTTATTTTTAAAATAAAAGATATTTCATTATTATTTGAATTTTATCAGTCTAAAATATTATTTTTTATACAAAATTATGGACTGCTAGTAATAAAGAATTATTATAAAATATTATAAGTAGAATTACTAAATGAAATATTGATATCTTTTAGCAAATTAACTTTCTTGATAACAGATGTCAAATGTTTACTTTTCTTGAAATTTTAAAAGTCTATCACAATTTTATTACTTCAGACTAATAACTACTCAGATATATAAGTGAAAACATTTTTTAGGAATATACTCAAAGATTTAAAAAAGGATATAAAATCATGTTTTATTAAAAAAAAGAGGTATCAAGAGACATAAAATCACTATTATAAAAGTATATAGAGGTTAGTATTCTTCTCTTATTAAAATTATCATCTTTTGCAATTCCCTTTACTAATTAACATATTTTAGATTGCACTTGATAATGATAATAATAGGTTATATGAACTTTATAAGACAATTATAAATTTTTTCTCAAAAATATCTGATTCAATTTTTCTAATGAATGCTATTTCTATTTTAACATCTGTAAGTTTAATTTCTTTTTAATATTTATTTAATTAATTATTTGTGGTAATTTTTTTTCTTACTACTTTGTAGAACTTATATAATTTTGCTATGTTCATTAAAAGAAAAACTTAGCAAAATAACTTTGATAACAAATATAATAAATCCTATATTACATATTTTTCTTCATAATACTTATATATATCTGATTATTTAGTCAAATATGTCCAGTGCTAATTCAAAAACTAAAAACTTACTGTTGGAGATCCTACTTGAGTCAAACAATCTAATATAATTAGGAATATCGTCAATAATAGTACATATAAAAAATAAATAAAAAAAAATAAATAACAATCAGTATTCTAATCTTTTTCTTTATAATATATAAATAGGCAAGTTTGCTTATGAGATGATGTATGGAGAAATAATAGGTAAAGGAAAAAATAACATAGAAAAGAAAAATTTAATTGATATAGGTTGGAAATATTTATAAAGGACTCATTAAATAATCTTTTGCTAAATACTGATATTAATCAGATTTTTTCTTAGCAAGTTATCAGTAAGTTAATCTTTAGAAACGCTTGTTTTAACTAATCTTATCTTATCTAACTAATGATTCTTTATGTAATACAGTAGCGGTCATAAGTATCTGACCCCTCATAATTCTTAAAGTTAATTAATAATACCATTTAATATTTTTCAACATTCAAGTATAATACCAATGTTGATCATACGTAAAATTATAAGCTTGTACAGCATATAAATCAAAAATTAGATGATCGATGAATTTTGCTATGTAAAGTACTAATATTTTTTAATAAATTAAACAAAATAGTTTTTTTATATAAATTTCAATAATAACTGAAATGGAATTTCAAAAATATAGCTACTTTATATCTATTGTAATAAAATTATAATGTTTATTATATTTAAAAAT